CCCCCCCCCCCCCCCCCCCCCCTCCTCCTCCAGCCGCCGAACCTTGGCCTCTTGCCGCAACCTCAGGTGATGGCACCATTTCCTCTTCTCCTGCGGCGTTGTTGGTGGTAGTAGTAGGCGTTGTTGTTGTTATTGTTGCCGATGGCATTGCTGCTGGCGTCGCGTCGGCGGTGCCGGCCGCCTCTGCACCTCTTTCCCCGCAGTCACCATCATCACTACCGGTGCCTTCAGAGTCAGATGCAGCGGAAGCCCCGCCCTCGCCGTTCTCAGCACCACCTCTCGCCGCCACGCCTTCCTCCTTGCCAGGAACGCCTCGTGCCCCTTCCTTCGCGTGCTGCTGCTGCTGCTGCTGCTGCTGCTGTCCTTGCTCGAAAGAAGGAGCAGCGAGGAGCCTGGCGGGGCTGCTGGGCTGCTGGGTGCTATTTTTCTTCTTGGTCATTTTTGCCGCCGCCGCCCCCGCTGTCTGGCTGCCGCTGCCGCCGCTGCCGCTGGGTGGATGACCAGTGGGCGAAGGAGGCCCAGCTTCATCTTCCGAGCCGTTGTCCACGTCGAGGACCCTAAAAAATGGTCGCCGCCACCGCCGCCGTCAAGACGCACCATCGTTCGTTTTAACGGGATTGGAGCAGATTCAGGGTATTGTTTGATGAGTTCTGAGGGCGTTACACAAGTTGTTCTCCTGCGCTCTGCTGGGCGGGAGGTTCAGCAGTAGTTTTGGTGAGGTCACGATGATGGGCCTTTTTCCTCGCGTGACGGGTGGAGTGCTTGATGATCGGGCGTTACTATTGACATTGAGTGTGTCGTCGATGGCGGGCAACACGAGCTGCGGCGGCAGGAAAAGCAGCGCGGCATTCATCATGTAGGCTAGACTGCTGTGCAGCAAGCGGGACTTTGCCTTCTTCAGAGAGGCAACGGAGTCTCAGGCATGCGTCCACACCTTCGTGCAATTTGGAGAACTTGAGGGTGCCAACTACAGGATGTTTCTCATGAACTGCAACAGCTTGGAATCCCCCCCCACTAAACCCAAATGTTCTCTGTAATGTAGTTTCCTCTCACCAGAGAGTGACTGAAGTCGCGACGGTTAGACCAAGATGCCCACAAACAAGTAGATATGTCAGCGAAAATGGTGGCGCGTTGTGTGTAGGTAACGTTTGCGCCGGCCAGCGAGGAGCCTCGTCAAACGCTCTACTGTACATACTTTGTTTGTATGCATACGCACGAGAGCACTTGAGTGTGCATCCATAGACCATAGCATAGAACAGAAAAACGAACGGTTGTATTGTTGTGCCGAAAGTGAATTGCAACGCCAACGCTTCCTTCCGCCGCACCCGATTGGCCAATAACCCTGGATGAAACAGTGCAACATTAGAGTATTGCAGTACGACGTGTAGCAGCAGTGATGCGTTGCAGGTACGCACTTGTAGCTGCCCAGAGTCATCGAGAGAGCATGGTACATACTGGGTAGCTTATCCGCCTCCGCTCTCCCCCACCATCTCTCCCTGGAGTATGTAGGGTGCACACCATTTCAATTCACCCTATAGCAAAACGAACAAGGGTCTTTAGTCTTACCCGTCATCTCAGGTCACCTACAAGTGACCGCTTTTTCTCCACTGCGGTACTAGTCTACTGCCTGTAGTCTAGATCTGTATATCTTTCCACGATCACACACCAGTGTGGCGCGAATAGACAGAAAGGCAAGTTGATCTCTGTGCGAACGCTCGGCACTGCTGCGGTACAGAATCGCGCCGAGCAGCGAGACACGGCTGGCTGGTTGTGCTCCAGAACGTTGGTTGGGTTGTGGTTCCACCGTGAAAGAAAGATCACAAAATATTTTTCGACCAGCACACACAAACAGACGAGTCCGCACGTGGTTGTATGAGAAAGAATTTTCGAGAGGCTGGTTCCTGCTGGAGGAGTGTCATCGCACGTGTCCACCCCCTTCGCATTGTGACATCTATAGCTACGGTGGTGCCTCCTCAAGAGAGGACACCCGAGCTGGAGGAGTGATCAACCTTTTTGACAAGTTTTTGATGGGCAGGCAGGCTTATTTGGATCCTGGCTCTTCGGGGGTTTTCGACGTGCTCTCGTTTCGACGACGACTGCTGCTCACCCTTCTGGGAACGCCGTCCCCATAGGCGCACCGTGGTACGACCCCATCAGCGCTGCTGGATTGCAGGTGTGCCTTGGGGTGCCGGAGACGTTTCCTTGAGGTTCCTTCCCTTCCGGAGACAGCGTGTGGGTGTGCGGTACCAGCGAAGAGCAGAGAGCACCCGCGGAGTAAAAAGCAAGCGAGAGAAAGAAGACCTACGGCGCCTTCCTCGCAGAGTGTGTAACTCCGTACCTCGTCGAGTTTCCGTCGGTATGAAAAAAAAAAAACGGTTCTATGATAGGTCCATTTCCGGCAAAATAATCCATTTCCGGCATGAAAAAAGAACGACACAACAACAAATTCGCGCCACTTTTAGACGAAAAGAAATGCGGCGGGGATTCGATTCACAGGGAAGATCAACTCGGAGCGACTCGTTCCGCTTGGTCGAATTACCCACAAAGGAACTTACTGCAGGGTCTCCCGACCCCACCTCGACGAGGTACTACTCATTCCCTTCCCGTCGCCTGGACGGTGGCGGCTGCTGCCACCATGCTGAGGCGCGATATCAAAATTGCGGGAGAAGCGAGGGTCATCAAGCACAGCTGGCGCCCGCACGCCAGGGGCTATCATCTGACCTTCACGCTGCTGAGGAAGGGCACTGAGGCTGCGGCTACCAAGGCAATAGGCCTGTGGTGGATGACCTCGAGGGCGTTGTACGTATGGCCCGAGAGCATGTTGATGACCTTGAAGAACGGGCTACTAAACGTCGCAAGAAGAAACCGGAAGGAGCCGCCACCAGATCTGCTGCCGCTGCTGCGGTGGGTGCTGCTGCTGCCGAACGAGGTCCAAGGTTAGGAGCCGATGCACGTCTCGCTCGCTCGGATGAGGCGCTTCTTTTCAGCGGACCGAGGAGAAGCATACAACCCACGATGACTCCTCCACGACAACGGCAAACGGGGAGTTCAGGGTGGCGTACGGTAAGAGATTGGGTGATATCTTGTCTATTTTTTCAAATGTTTGAATTTCCCTGTAGGCTACATAGCTAACCCTGCTGTGTTCCCGGTATATTGCTCTCCATCTTCCCACGCAAGTATTGTGTCCCATCGTCACATTTCCCCCCTCTCTCGTCAAAAATGATTCGAATTTAATCGTAATCAAACAGGCTATCGACGGGCACCGCGACGGGGCAAAGCAGAGCCGTGGTAGAGGATGATGTGTTGAAGGAGGAGCTGAGGGCGTTGCTGTGTGTCGGAGAACTTGGAGAGGCAGCGGCGACGAAGGCTGCTGTCGATGCGGAGAACATTCGCGCTCTGGTCGCCTCTATAGAGACGCTGAAGCTACACTCCCACAGCAACATCGGCCGCGCTGCCTACAACACCGTCGTTGCAGCAGCTGCTGGAGCGGCGCACACGTGCGATCCTGACGACCCTTGCGCCCCGGATGAGCCGTGCGCACCTGCTGAGCCTCAGGGTGCTGTTAGCCTTGCCGCGCGAGCACAGGGTCTCGGTGTGAGAGACGGCACGTTTTGTGCAGCGCGTACCCGGATGCACAGGACTGACCACACCATACCTCCACAGGAAGCTTTGGAGAAGGGAAGATACCTCTGAGCTCCTCGCAAGGAGAGGAGCGACAAGTTGGACGAACGTGTCATGGGTTTGGCGAGGAGGTTCTGGCACTCTGACGATTTTTCTCGTGCGTCGGGGGACTCCGGTAAGCGTTGTCAAATACGGTTGTTGTACAATTGTAGATCGGGGTATCTCCTTGTTGCCGTTTTCTTGTCGACGTGATGTATCAACTGCACTTGTCTGTACCCCTTTAGATAGCTTCACTATTGCTGCTACACTGCACACTGCACACTGCTGTTCTGTCGTACACCCCTGTAGGGACGAAATATGTGGAGGCCGTCCGAGAAGGGAGGGGAGGAGTATCACCCCCGTAGGCAGCTCATGGTCGCGGGGGACCAAGTATGGCACAAGTTTCTGAAGTGGCCGGAGTACATGGGGCTTAAGGCAGAGCTGCTGAGGGAAGACAGCAGCTTCACGGACCCTGGGCGGACGCTGTTCCTCTCGACGCGGTGTGGGTGTTCAGGTGGGTAGACATGAGGGGAGAGCTCCTTTTTTTTACACGAAACAGTGTCGTGACCGTTCCAGCCTAATTGACTCTTCTGCTGTGTCACCGCCCCACAGGACGGCCTCGTTGCTGACTTGCTGTCCTCCTTTCTATCCGTTTCAAATGTTCGCTTCTGGTGTGTCACAGTGGAACCCAAGGTATCGAAGTGTGCATGCCAGACCCACACGCAGCAGGGGATAGACCTGAAGGCCTTCGAGATGTTGATGCCTGCAACACATGCCAACTGTGACTGCACGTGCAAGTGGTGCGACGGGGGGAGTGGGTGTGGAAAGTGGATGGCCATGTGTAAAGATCTGCACAGCTTTTCTGAGGCTTTGGCTTGCGAGAAGGTAGACTTTCTTGAGGAGGACCGAGGGGGTAGGTTTGAGCACTGGGGCAGGAAGCCCGCATGCGTTGCGATGGAATGCTCCGAATGCGGGTTTGGCAACCCAGGCGGCATCCCCATGAACTGCGATGCCCTGGGGTCTATGGCGGACAGAGTAGTCGGGTGGCTTCGGTTCGCGGATCAAGTCATGGAGGATGGGAAAGTGCACAAGAAGCAGCAGCTACCCCAGGGCGGAAAACTGGGTGACCTGTGGCAGGAGTTTGTGGAGCACTCCAAGAAGGTGTGAAGGAATGGACCGCATGTGGAATTGCGCCATCAACTGGAGGCATGTAGTCAATCGTGCATCAACACAATCAATCGCGCAACGTACAACNGGGTGTGAAGTAATGGACCGCAGGTGGAGTTGCGTCATCAACTGGAGGCATGTAGTCAATTGTGCATCAACACAATCAATCGCGCAACGTACAACCGTTCTTTCCTTTCAACTTACAACTATATTTTCCCGCACCCCACTTGCCCCCCGTTCGTTTTTTATCCCTCTCAGTATCTTCATCACCATGAGCTAGCAAAGTGGCAGCGCCAAGCCCACAACATATGCCTGGCGACGTTCTCCAAAGGTGCGCTGTTGGTGGAGACCGACTTTATCGAGAAGTACAAGCACGAGGCTGGCGCTATCTTGACGTGCGCTACTGCGCCCTCCACGACCATGATGGTGGCCCTAGTTCACCACAGTCCTGACGACAACGGCCGGCATGAGACAGACGCATGGGTTTTCGTATCGAGTGATCCCAATCATGACTTCGACTTCCACATCTACGCCATGGACATCATCCTTCAGTACTACATCACGGGGGATGGGCGGGCCGCTACTGCTGGAACCCCGACCCCGACGGTGCACATCTTCACCGACGGGTGCGCCAAACAGTACAAGGGGAAGCGCAACTTTCATGCCGTNGCCACAGCCCTGACGACAACGGCCGGCATGAGACAGACGCATGGGTTTTCGTATCGAGTGATCCCAATCATGACTTCGACTTCCACATCTACGCCATGGACATCATCCTTCAGTACTACATCACGGGGGATGGGCGGGCCGCTACTGCTGGAACCCCGACCCCGACGGTGCACATCTTCACCGACGGGTGCGCCAAACAGTACAAGGGGAAGCGCAACTTTCATGCCGTAGCCAAGAGCTTGCACAGGCTTGGTGCCATCCTCATCCACAACTTCGCGGTCACGTCGCACTTCAAAGGCGCCCACGATGGCATCGGAGGGTTGCTGAAGGCTCTACTGCGAGAAGCGNTAGTACAAGGGGAAGCGCAACTTTCACGCCGTGGCCAAGATCTTGCAGAGGCTTGGTGCTATCCTCATCCACAACTTCGCGGTCACGTCGCACTTCAAAGGCGCCCACGATGGCATCGGAGGGTTGCTCAAGGCTCTACTGCGAGAAGCGGAAAAAAGGGGCCAGCGCATCCACGACACCCAAGCCGCAGCCGACTTCGTCAAAGCCTACGCCGAGGCAAAGGAGGATGGAGGAGGCCACTTTTCAACCTGGTCTCCCTACCGAATCAGGAGGTTCCACATCAAGCTTCTTGGACACCGAGAGATCCCTCGCCCGTTTGTAGATTTGACCGGCATCTCTGGGAGTTCCAAGCTGTACCAGTTCATGGGAGCGGAGGTCCAGGAGGAGGAAAGCTCGGGCGTGAGCGTAGAGGTGCAGAAAGAGAGCGGGGTTCNGAGAGCTCGGGCGTAAGCGTAGAGGTGCAGACAGAGGGCGGGATTCCCCTCGTAGGTGGCGAGAAACAGGTTGTGGCTAACCCGCAGAGATGGCAGGCAGACGAATCAATCGTTCGGACGCTTCCGGCTGTCACGAAGCGATACAAGCTACGCGTTCGCCAGGCGTCGTGCTACTGCTCGAAGTGCAGTGTTGGAGCTTACGACGACTGCGTCCCGGCCAAAAAGTATTAGGGGATGGTTGGTATGGTGAAGGATGTGTCGGGCAAGCACAAGGTTACTCGGACGTCTTGTGGTGTAGGGAATTGAGGGGTGTCCGTGTTGCACATGATGTTCTGATTGACGCCTTGTTCTCTTTGATGTCCTTTTGTTTTTTTGGGTAATTTTGTTGCAATATTTGTACTTTTTTTGCTGCAGTGTGCTGTTCGTTGCATGTTGCTGTAATTCATGTGCAGCAGCAGGTCGTCTCCCTTGCGGTTTGGGATACCGAAGAAGGGTCTCCAGCAGGAGAAAACAACATTTGCCGGCGTTGGTGGCTAATGTTTTCACGGTTTGTCGCCCAAATGGACAATATTTTTCCAATATATGCAAGTATATTGTACAACGTACGTTATTTTCAAGCACGTCGGTGAAATAAATGTCCCATATATCACAGGGTATACTTGTGGTCAATCTCCGCGGTTGTACGCATCAAATAGCCCGAAAACCGCGCTTGAAAATGGCCCTAAAAAACACGTTTTATCGCCGTTCTCCAAAGGGGGGGACGTTTTAGCCTCATCCCCGCTTTTTCTTCCATACATTATGCAGTATAAAACACTACAATGGCTGAAACCTCAACATCCCGACGTCGGGCACTCAATTTAACCCGCGGAACTGGACCTGCACCCCACCAAAGCACCCTGATACACTTTTTGGAGCTTTAGTCCTCGAGGAACATCATCAACTGGACCACTGCACACCCTAGCGCGGAAACACGGAGACCACGAGGAGACCGGAGATGGGGGGCACGCGGTGGAGATGCGGGGTACGAGGTATTCGTTTTTCGCGCGAGAAATCCCCCCATGTGCTTGGTGCTGTGCCCAGCACACGGGAGCTTGTCGTTGCAGAGCGCCGTGGACTTAGCATTGGCCAGTCGACAGGCATACCAAGGGAAAGGCCGCGAGCGAGATAGTCAGCGAGGGGTAGAGAGAAGAGAGAGGGCTCGAGGTGGACGAGGATAAACAAGAGAGCAGCGAGACTACACAGCACACTTAAAGCTGCTTCGGGGTGCGCAAGTAATCCTTTTCAATGACGCCGCGCTTGACTACGATCGCACTTCTCTGCTGCGCCGTAGGTTGGCGGTATACACCCACGCTAGAAGCAGACGCCTTCGTTGCGCCACCCCTGGTAGTCGACAACCGTGGCGGCGTGGCAGCAAGGAGCCCTCAGCGCCAACTCGAATCATCATCGCCAGGCGAGAGGCATGCAGCACCAACGGCGGCGAGACCCGCGGGAACGAGGAATCACGGCGAGCAGCGGCAGCGGCAGCAGCAGCAGCGGTTGACGATGGCTTCGTCGAGGCTGAACGGTGCCGACGTCTCTGATGACTTGACTCAGGTCAACGGCGCGGCTGCCATGCCCCCTCCGGTTGCGGTAAACACTGCTAGGGTGAGTACAGCACTCAGCCACCACGAGCACCGCCGAGACCGGTCTGCTGCCGACAGGGAACGGTGGTTGTTGTCGGGGGAGGAGGGGGTGCTTAAGTTCGCGGGTGAACGTACTGCTACACTGCTTTGTGTGCCACTTGGATCCTACAGGAAAGACTGGTGTGTATGTGTGGCTTAAATCGCCATTCGCACAAGAGTGTGGGCGCACGCACATGCGGGTCGCGGTCCTGGATATGTTGTTCGTGCGTCGCTTGCTCTCGGGAAAGTTCCACACACAGCAAGCTGCCTCTTCATGTTCAACAGCGTCCCCTTGTTGTTCCCCCGCCGGCATGGCCAGAGCCGTGCGCGCGCGAGGATTTGCCTTTCGTTGCTGTGGTCGATTCTATTTATCTACCACCGACAGCTGCCAATGCCATATATTCTATTCCCTGAGCTCCATACAGCAGTAGTACGCCGCATGCTCGAAGCAGACTTGGGTACCTATGCCCTATACTCAACTGTTCATGTGAAGTCAGCACGTCCGATTGAACAAAACGACATTTATCACCGCCACGTAGCGTTCCATGTAATTTTTTACGAAATTTGCGCGTGAAAGCGAAATATAGGTGACAAGCTGTCGTGAGTACCAAACTTCGACGTTAGCACCGTTGACGAGGGAAAGGGACCGCTGGGCCCTTCTCGCGATAAAAAAAATTCAGCGCGCACCGCAGGAGGAAGGTGGGGCATGAAAATAAATAAAAAGGAGAAAAAAGCCCTGGTGTTTACCCCCTCCTGTGTGACTCTGGATGGTTGTAGTTGTACGAAAAAATACACTGAAAAGTGTAGTACTCTACATACGCTGAAAAGTGTAGTACACGTCTCACCACGAAAAATGGGGGCACTTTCGCCATAATAAATAGGACAAAAAACACAATCCACACTCAGCTTTCCATGTGCGGTACACCTTTAAGCACACAACACGTAGCAAAAGTATGGGAATATGGCACACCAGCATGGAACTCCTGCTTCCGTTTTGAAGCCGACGTCACGCGTATAGAGGTGAAACCGACTAGATACCAACAATCCAGCAGAGGCGCAATTCCTCTCGTGCATGTATGTGGCGAGGTCCGCTCAGTATGGCCGATGGTACAGGTCAGCGTTCTTTTATGGATTGGATTGGTGCGGACGTTCTGCAGTGTGTGTGTACCAGCTAAGGAGATTCAGCCGTATCCTGGTCTCTCCACACAACCCGGAGATATTTCGGCGCCTGCGCCACGGGCGAGGACGAGTAGCGGTGCAGGGCTACCATAAGCATGTAGACTGGCCCAAGCTACAACATTCGTAAGTAGACGCAAGGCCGGCAGGGGGTTTGGGTGCCATCATCCCGGCGGGGAGGTTTGCCCCCCGTAGGCAGACGCCATGTTCACGCCCACCTGATGCTGTAACCGGACGGTCGGAGTAAATTCACCTTCGGGTTCCCTTTCGAATTGACTACTACCACCGCTGTGGTTAGTCTTTGCCCCCCCCCTCTGGCGCTTCGCCGCTTTGCATTCTCTGTCTTCCGGTCTTCCTCTCTGTAAGAAACCGCGCATATATTTTTATCCTTCGTCCCCGTCGCCTCCACTCTGCCAACTACCAGACGGCCCAGCAACGAGGTTTTCCGGCAACTCTTTCGCTAGGAGCGCCCCGCCATCGGCCCGGGACTGACGGTTACACGACGAAGGGAAACGTGGAGGTTTCTTGCAAGGTGCGTGGCGGTGTGATGGTGTGGCTTGTTGGCAACTTCGAACGGCGTTCAACAGAGAGAGAAAGAGAGAACTGTGGCAAGAACTCCCGCATGTCCCAGGACCAAACCGACAGGGTGTACACGAACCATCGCTGCGCGGTGCTGGTTGGATGTGGCAGCTAGTACTGCGCGTTCAATCTGCACCTAAGGAGTACCCGGGTAAGAGCTGCAACCTGCAGCAAGCTTCACGCACGAGGTTGGATGATGCCTCATCAATATAATGACTCATGTAATAGCCGTGTTACGGCCCCGCGGAGGCAAGTAAGCGGTGTCAACGACTTGTTGCCTGTACTGTGGTAAACACCACATGAGCTCTTCTCACTTCGCCTGAGCGTCGGCGCCTCATCCTCTCGGGGCTACCAGCAACCAGGGTGATCATTGTTTTGGTGTCGGGTTTCCTACACATTAATCGTGGGACAATCAAAGATATAAACCTTTTGATGATTGGTACTCGGAGTAGAAGGTATGGCGAGATAGATGTTGAGTCTCGGCTTCTCAGCTGTTGAGATAGGATAAGTGCGGTGCAGCCGAACTCGAGGTCGATGGTGTCAGCCCGAGACACGGCGGTTGATCGCCACACCCAAGACACCCCGACCTCACGATATGATAAACACAAGGAAACGCACCCACCAAGCAGTAGCACGGCTACGCTTATGGCCAACACACGGCATGGTACACATGCCCACCGTGAACAACAAGAAGCGCACCCACGACACAAAAAATTCCACCTGTCTTATTTTCCACGAAGACCAGACATTTCAGAAAACATGCCTGCTAGAAAGTAAATAAGTCAATGACAGACAAACGAACTAACCTGCTCTTAACCAATAAGATTGTTACTGTTGTTTTTGTTGTCTTCAACCTAAAAGCCGTTCCGCTCTCCGCTCGTTACCCTGTAAGATCCGTATTGGTCCAACTGACGCAAAACGATATCGTAATAAAAGGTGATGGACGTGCCCCACGCCGAGGAGTGCGTGGAAGACCTCGTCCAAGCCCTCGACGCGAGGAGAGGCGTTCTGCTCACGTCCTCGTACGAGTTCCCCGGCCGCTACGCGCGCTGGACGCTGGGCTTCTCGGACCCGCCGCTGGAGCTGTCGGGCACGGGGCGAGACTTCAGGGTGCGAGCGCTCAACGACAGGTGCGTGAACTATTAAACTGATTTTTTTTTGTCGTTTTTCCTTTCTGTCGACTTTTTTTTTCTATTTTTTTTCTCTTGTGGTGACTTTTTGTTTCCCCTTGTTATTCCCATCTTGTTCTCTATTGATTAGTCTTCCTTCCTTACAGACGCTCTGGTGGGCTATGCGCTGCGGGCGATGCGAACTCACGGCCTTTTTTCTCGTCGTGTTGCCCGTGTTTGTTGATGGCGTCTGTTTGGCGTGTAGGGGGCGAGTCCTGTTGCCGGCGTTCTGGGACAGGCTGTCTGAGGGCTGCTCCGCGGAGGTGGAAGACCTGACGCTGTCCGACGACGACATCAACGGCAAGGTTAAGCAAGCAGAGGGATACTTCAAAGAGGTGAACGGGTTGTTTTGGTTGTGGACAAAAATAAGAAGCGGTTTCATGGAAAGGACGAACACAAGAGTCACAACATACGCTTCGTGCCATAATGTCCCCTGAGACGTATGTTTGTGAAACGGACGGCTTATGTATATCTAACATGTGTCAAAGGGCTCGAAAGGGTCTGCACACAGCCACTGTCCTTTCCGGGAAAGTGTCGAGAGAAAGAGAGCATGGAAGGCGCGCAAAGGTCCAGATGTGTGTCTGCGAACTGTTTTGGCAGTGCACAGTTGTTGTTGTTTGTTGTTGTTGTTTCTCACATTAGCTCTAAAGTTCACAAAAAATGGGGAGCCCGTGGCCTCAAAACCCGGCACATACGACGCCGCGGGGAAACAAAACAAAAATAGGGTACAAACCACTCGGAACAAGAAAACAAAAATGATAGAAAGAAAATAACAGGTATCGCACCGACCGTTCGAGAAAAGAGCCCCCGGAAACCGATCAACATAAAACAAAAAAAATAAAGGAGGACGCTTCCCACACCCGCCCAAAGAAAAAATCAAAGGGTAACGTACCAGCACCAGGCACTACGCACCAGGGCATGGGAGTAGCGGAGCAAACAGGGCAACGAGGCGGCAGATGGGCAGACAGCCAGACGTACCATAACAAAGGCAGCAGCTAGTGTCATCGACTAAAGCTGACAGCAGGCGGACCAAAGCGGCCGGCATTACGCACCCGTTTGCAACACCTAGTGGGCCAGGGCGAGAGACAAGAACTTATGCACTATTTACTACTTCTGAAGTATATACTAGAGTGAGGAATTAAGTACATGCCGAACTGGCGCATGCAAGACGTGTTCGAGGTGACACACACAAGAAGAACGAACCATGCCATTGTGGTTCGCATGAGGTTTGGAATGTTCCAAGGGATTAATTCTTTGCTCAGGATCCGTCGGTATTTATGGCGTCCAATGGAGGAAGCAGCAACCACCGCTGAAAACAATGCGCGAAAAGTCGAATTATCACTTAATAATTAACGAGAAAGTGGGCGATGCCAACCCCCCGTTTTCGCAGGAGGAACGCAGCAAGCAGCCGTCGCTGTTCAGCGTCGTGAGGGCCGCGGTCGACCTGTTCTACTACGAGGGGGACCCGCAGCTAGGACTGTACGGCGCGTTCGGGTGAGGTCACCTCTACCTGCACAAGGAAACGAAGATACAAACACATACCTTAAGTGTGGTCTTGTTGCTTGAGAATCGGTTCGAAAGGTTGATGCACCTATGCGTAGCAATTGCTGCGTGCGCAATATTTTTACGTCTCAGACCAAGTTTGGGCTGAGTATTTATTGTTTTGTCATGTGTCCAGAGGAATGGAAAGCAGGAGAACCGGCGTTCTCTCGAAAAACGGTCCAATAATTCCTTGCGTTCGGTGCTTGGCGTACCGCCGTACTGTAACCGCACGCACTATTTAGTTTTATCGAGATTGGAATTCTGCGGTGAAGGCGGTGTTGTGCTCGCCGCGCAGTGAAGAAATTTATGCCATGGTATGTGTACACTTCAAGACAAACTAGCTTGCACGGTGATACAGTTCGTTGGCTCTAGGGCCATAAACAAACCCACCCAGC